GTAACGGCGCGTGGTTCGGGCACGAATGGCTACGTCCAGCGCAATCTCAGCAGCGTGAGGCAGCGGCCGAAGATTAATTATCAGGAGGAGCAGCGCCGCATGGCCCAGCCCCTCACGAAGAAGCCCAATCAGGAGATTCTCGAACACGAGCGCAAGCGCGAAATTGAGCTGCAGGTCTTCCAGTGGGCCGAAGAGAATGGCCTGTTCGAGGGGGGACTCGATGAGGCCGACATCCAGGCTCAATTGGCGGCCAAGCGCGAGGAATTGAAGCAGGGAACCCAGCTCGATGATGACAAGATCCGTTCGAGTAACGAGACCCACAAGCTGGCGCTCGCCCAGCAGAAGAGGGCCGAGGCCTTCGGTCACGCGCTTGGCATCTCGTCCGACTACGTCGAGGGATCTGCCTTTGATCGCGAGCTCCAGGAGCACAAGAGGGCGACCGAACGCGAGGAGCGCATCAAGGAAGCCGTCCGCCGCGAGAAGAAGCGCATCGAAGACGAGGAGAGGCGCGAGGAGGACCGAAGGCGCGAACGACGCCGAGAGCGCGAGCGCGAGCGCGAACGCCGCCACGTGGACCGCGATCGCGACAGCGATCGAGGCAGGGACCGCCACGACAGGGAGCGAGGCAGGGACCGTTACAGCGACAGCGATCGCCACGACAGGGAGCGAGGCAGGGACCGCCACGGTGAGCGCGACCACGAGGAGAGTAGGAGGAGGAGGAGAGACGAGGTCGATGAAGAGGTGGAGAAGAAGCGCACTAAGGGGGAAGACGAAGAGGAGGAGAAGGAGAAGAAGGAGGTGAAGGTGGAGGAGAAGAAGGAGGAGCGGGGCACGAAGAGGTCCAGGTCACCGTCGCGCTCCCGCTCTCGTTCGCGCTCGCGTTCTCGTTCGCGTTCCAGCTCGCGTTCCGATTCGAGCGACTCAGACAGTGGACGGGATCGTAAGAGGGGCCGGAGGAGGAGGAGGCATGACAGCGACAGTGACAGCGACAGCGCAAGCGATTAGACGCCCTTCTCAGCTTTCTTTTTCTTGTATGTTTCAAACTGCCCAACAAAGCTTCCCTCAGTGGCCACCTACCTCCTGTTGTCCGAAGAGCTTCCACACGAGCGTGACGTACCACCCACACACACACACACACACACACACACACAC